GCAGCCCCGTTCCTCCTCCATCGGCAGAACAGGCGGCGCCACATCTCAGCCTGTCTCAGCCTCTCTCTCTGCTCTCTCTGCTGTCCCTGCTCAGGGGGACTCTGGGGGGCACTCGGCCTCAAGTGGTCCTGCGCGAGCGCCCCTAGGGTTTCTTCAGCCATACAACGTACCATGCCCACAGGTCCCAGGATTAACACTGGCATTGCTGGAGGTCAACATTCAGCTGTGCGCTCAGGACAGGTACCCAGGTACCCACCTGGGAGGCACCCAAGTTACCTGGGGCCTAGAGGAGCCCTGAGCCCAGGAGGCAGAAAAGCCAGGAGAGGCGGTGCCATCCCGGATGGAGCGACAATGCGACACCTGGAGCGTGGCTGGAGAGGGAAGCCCTGGCTGGAGGGCTGGGGTAAGACGGACAGAGTGATGTCACCAGAGGAGGGCTTCGTGATGACGGTGAGGGGGGCAGGGAAGGGCCCAGCATGCAGACAGCGCTGGCACAGGTCACCAGGGGGCCCAGGCCGACCCAAAGGCCCCCACTGCAGGAGCAGCTGTGCAGCCCCAGCCCTGGGCGACAGTCACTGCCAGTGGACTGGGGAGCAGAGCCACCAAAGGTAGCAAGCACTCACTCACTCCAAGGCCCCGAGTGGCACTGACCCCCAGCAGGCTGAGCATGGCGGACTGTCCAGATGGCACCAGGGGGATTGGATGAGCACATCCCCTGGGACCGCTGCTGAGGGCCAGCGAGGCAAAGGTGACACGGGCACCTCGGTCTCCCTGTGCTCAGTCACTGGGCAGCGAGGCTCAGGTTTGTGGAGAGGCTTCCAATGGGCCAGGCTCAGAGCCACCACAGGGCACAGGGAGGTCCCTGTGGGGACACCACGCCCCTCCTGGGACACTGCTTCCAGGGGACATGCAGCATGGCAGAGTAGCACACCCCTGCAACCCAGCACTTGGGAGGCAGAGCCAGAAAGATTGCCACGAGTTCGAGAGCAGCCCGGGCCACACAGCAAGCTCAAGGCCAGCCTGGGCTACAGAGTGGGACCCGGCCTCAAAAAAGACCAACAGAAAGAGGGGTGCTTGCCAGGCAGCAAGGCTGCCTGAGGACCCTGACCCCCAGATCTGCCAATGTCACACAGACCAAATGCAGCCCTGGGTACCCATCAAAGAGACAAGGCCCCTCAGGGAGGCTCAGCGAGGAGGTGGCTGGGCCTCCCCAAGCGCACGGTGCAGGGCACAAGATTGGAGGCAGGACTCTGACCGCCCCGGCACACTTGGGGTGACCGCTTGCAACGGAGCTGAGGGGGTGGGGTGGGGGCCTGGGTTGGTTTTTTTTCCTGCCAGTACTTAAGATGGAACCCCACCTTAAGTACCGACACCCCAGCGAGTTTTCTTTCTTATTTTGAGACAAGCTTTCACTAGTCACTAAGTCGCCATGGCTGAATTCAAACTTAGGGACCCTCAGCCTGGGCCTCCCAGACTGTGGGATGACACGCCTGGGCCACAGCAGCAGTGACAATATGCTTAAAGAGAGACATTTTCACTACTTGTGTAACAACATTAATAACACTAAATGTCTTTTTTAAAAAAGCGTAAGTGTTGTGGTGTTTTCAGTGACCAAGCATGAGCCAATCCCTGGCTTCCACCCCAGTACTGGAGCAAGGGTGAAAAAAGGTATTTTATAAATAGAGACGCAAACACGGGGTGTGATGATGCACACCTGCACCCTAACACTGCGGACGCTGAGGCAGGAGCATCACACTGAGCTCGAGGCCAGCCTGGGCTACTCAGTGAGACACAGTCTCAAAAACACAAACAGCAAGGATGGTGCACAACTATATTCCAGCCCTCCAAGGCTGAGGCAGGAGGACTCCTCCCTCAGGTCTGAGACCAGCCTGGGCTACACAGCATGCTGGGAACCAGGATGGGCTATACCGCAAGACCCTGTGTGAAAACACCAAAAGAAAGCCAGGTGATGGTAGTGTACCCCTGTAATCCTAACACTCAGGAGGCTGAAGCAGGAGGGTCTCTGAGTTTGAGGACACCCTAAACTGCATAGCAAGACCCCGTCTCAAAAAGTAAATAAATAAACAAACATTAGGAATGACACAGATGTATGATCCCAGTACTCAGAAGCCGGAGGCAGTAGGAGCCCTAGAGCCTGGAGCCAACCTGGGTTACATGGTGCGCAGAAGACCAGCCTGGACCACACATGAAGAAACTTGCCCCCAAATCAAAAAAAAAAAAAAGAAGAAAGAAAATTCCCACCCCCACCACAGGTAAGTTTTCTCCAAATTATGGAAAGTGCCCAGGGTGGGGCGAGGGAACCTCACTAAAGTCACTAGGGGCTGGGGCCATGGCTCAGTGCTGAGAATTTGCCTCATATCCCCAATGCCCAAGGACCCATCTTCGGCACTGCAAAACCAAATACATATGTTTTACTTATGCATTATGCATGGTAACGCAATACACACGCAGCCATTACACAGAGAGCTAGATGGTCCAGAAAAAGACCTCTGCACGATGCCCACACGCCAGTCTTTTCTGGTTTTTTTCCTTTTCTTTTTTGGTGAGACGGTCTCGCTACGCAGTCCAGACTGGCCTCGATGTGTGGCAATTCTCCTGCCTCAGCCTCCCGAGTGCTGGGATTACAAGGCTAAGCCACCACACCTGGCCTTTTTCCTTTTTTTCCCTTTCTTCTTAATGTGACTTTAAAATGAACTACACATAGCACCTGAGAAGTCGAAGAGTGACAGAAAACAGGAGGCAGGTGTGGTGGCACCCACCTCTAATCCTTCTACTCAGGCCAGCCTGGGTTACACTGCGGGACCCTTTCTCAAAAAAACAAAATGATCGAACACCACTGGGACATGTACCTTCCTCAGGGCACCCAGCAGAAGCCTGGTACTGGTGCTGCCTCAAAACCACTTAGCAACAGGAGGGGACCACGCGCATCTCCCCCGCTGTCCACACAGAGCAGCAGACTGGGGCACCCCCAAGGCTGCCCAGCTAAGTGGGGACAAGAAGATCACGCACCACACACGGAACCCCCACTCAGCCTCCTCCAGGAGATGCTGGGCAGAGTTTAAACAAAACCCACAATGGAAAGGAAGCATTCTTTGGAAAACTTCAGCTTACAGGAAAAGCCCACTGTGGGAAGTCTTCCTTCAGGTGTTGGGGTGGGAGGAAACACAGGCCAGAGTTGACAAGGAAGCTGCTTTTTAAAAAGGTGGGAAATCCAGGCGTGATGGCACACACCGGTAATTCCACCACTCAGGAGGCTGAGACAGGAGGATCACCCTGAGTTCTAGGTCAGCCTGGGCTAGAGGGAGACCTTGTCAAAAAAAAAAAAAGAGGAGGAGGGAGGTGCTGGGATATAGTTCAGTGCAAAGGCCCAGGTTCAAGCCCCAGTGCCACCAAAATAAATATATAGGTGGAGACAGAGTGGTCACTGCATAGCTCAAGACCCCAACAGCAGCCAGACAGGAGCCTGGCATTGGAGGCAAGAAGCTCACCAAAGCCGAAGACCACACAGACCAGCTGCTGAGAGAGACCAGCACCTGTGGTCTTGACGTGGCCTGCTAAGAGCTGCCAACTGATGGATGGCCAGAGTCACACAGAAATCTGGGGCTGTGACCCCCACACTCAGGAGGCTGAGGCAGGAGGATCACTTTGAGTTTTGACACCAGCCTGGGCAACACAGTGAGTTCAAGACCAGACTAGACTGCACACTGAGACTGTGTTATAATCGACAGCAATTCCATAGGAATTGGAAGAGCCCCAGGGTGCTAGGTTTAGGATGCGGCTCAGCAGGAGACTGGGAGCTTTGCCTCTGCAAGGTCCTAGCCTCCATCGCTGGGCAAAAGTGGGCACAGCACAGGGCCCTCAAAACCGGGCACCCTAAGAAGAATGTGTGTGGCGGGTACTCAGGGGCTCCCACTGCATGTGGTGGAGGGCAGCCAAGAGACCCTATGGGCTAGGGTGCAAACACATTTCAAAGTCGCAAGCCCACTCTTCCAACTCAAAAGGCAACAAGGCGATTGTAACATGGCAGTGCCAGGTCTGTCAGAAGGAAGGGAGAGAACCATGCAAGGACTCAGCTTCCCAGCCAAGGGGCAAATTCCTGACTCCCTGCCCCTCTAGTGCCCTCACTGAGCGCTGCACTGCTTGGCACCTGGCACAGCTGTCCTCCTTCAGGGTGGCCCTCCAGCGGGGAGACCTTGTGAGGCTTCCACGGCCCGTCTCCAGCTCGGGCACCCTTGGAAGAAGCTGGGCACTTGGTAGCCACTAACTGTCTCCGTTCTTTATTAATCTAGGTCACTGCTTGGGGGAAGGGAAGGGAAGGGAAGGAAACGATGCCCACAGTTACAATTTTACTTCTGGAAAACCGTTTCCACACGCTGGCTTTCAGGTTCCTGCTTGCAACGCGCTTCCCCATTCCAGGACCCCTGGCCCTTCCCTTAAGGAGCACAGGCTGCTCCAGTTAGGGCGCAGAGGCCACCGCCTCAGACCACACAGTTCAGCTAGGGCCTCAGGTTTCCCCATTTTTCTCCCGGGGGGCGGGGGGAGACCCGCCTGTCTAGGTCTCCCCCAGAAAGCTCCTAAGGGGTTCAGAGCGCTGGGACAAAGATCCTGCACCTTCAGCCGGTGATCCAGAAACCCGCTCAGGTGGCACAGCCACAGTCGGGCACGGACACGCGCGGGGAGGGAGGAGGCGGTAAACTGAGGCTCGGGGAAGGAGGCCGCCCCGGAAGCAGCACGGTCCCGGGCGTGGCATTTTTGACAGCGCTTTCCCTGGGGCGAACGGAGAACAGCTGATGAGGGTAAACTGAGGCAGGGGGACACAGAGAATGTGCGAGGTGGGCGCCCCGGGATCGGTGGAGTCGGAGCGAGGGGCAGGGCCGGGGGCGACCCCCGGGCGGGCAGGAGGCCGAGCGGGCCCGCCAGGCAGGGCGGACGCCCCGGACGGTGAACGGGCGGGGCAGCCCCGCTCCACGCCGCCTCACCTCGTCCTCCTTGTGATTGCGGATGCCGCGCACCAGGTCCTGCAGGTTCTTGTCGAACATGCGGTCTATGCTGCCCTTGACCATCTTGAGGGCCATCGCGGCGGCCCACGGGCTCGGGTCCCCGGAGGACCGCGGCCGGGCGCCGTATGGGGACCCTCGGGGCCGCACCTGCCGGCCTCAGAGCGCTGCGCTGCCGGCCGCCTCGGCGGGGAGGGCGTCCAGGCCAGGGCGGCGGCAGGAGCCCAAAACGGCGGCGAAGGCGGCGGCGATCCGCCAGACAAGCGCCCGCGCTCCCGCGCCCCGCCGCTGGCAAATGGCGGACAAGATGGCCGCAGGTCAGCTGACGGCGGCCGCCGGGCTCCAGATACTCGGCTCCCGGAAGCCCCGCCCCCTGGAAACCACGCCCCGCTGCCTCCGTTTCCCTGACGACCACCGGCAACCCAATGGCGACGCGAACACCGCCCTTTTCGGTCGTTCCGTCCCGCCCCTTCCGCCTCAAGGCTCTGCGGTCTCTTTGGTCAGAAACCTCAGAGACTCCGCCCACTTCCTCCTTCGCATTCTAACAACGCCCCTCGGCTAAATGACAGATATGGGCGTGCCCTTTGTGGGCGGGGTCCGAGGTAGGCGGGGCGCCCACGTGGAACTCTCCCTGCAGTTCCCGAGGAAGAGTCCAGCTCCGCCTTTTGCAAATCTAAAAGGTGACGCTGCTTGAGAACCTCCAAATCGCAGGCTACGCCAACGCTGCAGTCACACAAAACCGTGTGATGTGACAGGATAAGAAGCGACTTGCCCGCCGGTCGTGGTGGCGCACGCCTGTCATCCCAGCACTGGGAAAGCTCAGGCAGGAGGATCCAGCGAGTTCGAGGCCAAGTAGGGCTACACAGTGAGTTCAAGGCCGGTTGGAACTACATAGGGAGACCCTGCCTCAAACATAAATAAATATGTAAATCTTTACTTCGAGACTATTATTTGGCAAGCAAAAGAAGGCACTAGGGCATGGAGATGTGAATAAGATACTCCAGGCATCCGCCCTCCTGGAGAGATTAGAAAAGCGGTCAGATTTGATGGTGCATGCTTATAATCCCGAGTACTGGGGAGGCAGAGGCAGGAGGATTACTGTGAGTTCAAGGCTGGCCTGGGACACACACTGAGAGCCAATCTTTTTAAAAAAATGCAAACTAATTTATGGTGAGACAAGGTGGGTGGGACTGTATTGACCCAGACAAGGTGGTGCAGGCCTGGCATCTCATCCAGTCGGGGGTCTGAGGCAGAAGGACTGCACATTAAAGCTTGCTTAGGCAAATTAGCAAGACCCTGTCTCAAATTAGCAAGACCCTGCAGCTGCAAAACAGTTGGGATGTAGCTCAGTACTCTGGCTCTCAGTTCCATCCCAGGACCATATACATCCAGTCAAATAATTCTCATTAGCTTCTGGGGACTGGGTGTGGGGGTCCCTGTCATCCCAGCACTCGGGAGGCTGAGGCAGGAGGATCATTGCGAGCTGGAGACCAGCCTGGGCTACAAAGTGAGCTCAAGGCCAGCCTGAGCCGTATAGCAAGACCCTGTCTCAAAAGGACAAAAAGTGAAATAAAAAATAAAATACTTAGAGTTTGTGTTTGGTGTGTGCATGTGTTGGTTTGGTTTTGTGATTTGTTTTTTTTTTTTTTTTTTTCATTACTGGAGATTTAACCCAGAACCTTCATACTAACTATATTCTCAATTTCTTTTCTTTTTTTAGACAGGGTCTCCACATACAGCTCAGCCTGGCCTTGAATTCACTGTGTGCCCAGGCTGGCCTCGAATTTGCAGTGATCCTCCTGCCTCAGCCTCCTCCTGGGTGCTAAGGATTACAGGTGTGTACCACCACGCCTGGAAGAAATATTTAAACTAAACCAAATAAACTTGTGTCTTTCTTTTATTTTAAAGTTTGAGTTAATGAAGACTGAACAATTGTTTTGACCAACCTTGTCTGAGCCCTTTTCACACCCCCTGAGAGCAGGGGGGCTTCCTGCAACTCCCGAAGTGACCAGCAGAGAGCAGTGGTAGGCAGGCTGGGATAAAGGAGCAGCCTCAGAAAGGAGCCTGACCTTCAGCCAAGAGCTGCAGCACCAGCCTGGACTTTGGCCATCTGGTGCCAATCCCACCTCCCGCCCTGAATCAGTCCCCTCATCTGCCCCACCCCCACCCCAGCCATCTATCCATCCATTCCATATCAGTATACTGAGTATTCCCTGTGTGCCAATTTCAGTGATAGGTGTCCTTCAGAGATGAAGGACAAGTCCTGATCAGGCCAGGTTTTTGGAAAAGTATGCCAGACAGACACTGGGACAAAGTAAAGGTTAAAACAGGTATGGTGAGGGGCTGGGTATTTAGCTCAGCGGCATAAGCTCCTGCCTTGCAAGCAGGCAGTCGTGAGTTCGATCCCTGGTACTGATAAAAAGGAAAAAGACAAAAAAAAAAAAAAAAAAAAAACAGCTATGGTGGCACACACCTGTATTTGCACCACTCAGGAGGCTGAGGCGGGAGGCTTTCTATGAGTTGAAGGCCAGTCTAAACTGCATAGGAAGGTTCTGTCTCAAAACAAGAATAACAAAAACCAAACCAAAACAAAATTTATTCTGGCACTCTGGGAAGCTGAGGCAGGAGGATCTCAAATTGGAACAACTTAGCAAAATTTCTCTCTCTCTTTCTCCTCCTCCTCCTCCTCCTCCTCCTCTCTCCTAGAGATGGGATCTCATTCTGTAATTGAGCCTGAACTTGAGCTCAGTATATAGCTCAGGTGGGCCTCAAACTCATAGCAGTCCTCCTGCCTCAGCCTCCTGAATGCAGGGATCAGAGGCAAACATCACACAGAAAAGGCTAGCAGTGGTGCACAGTAGAATAGAGATTTTCTAGCATGGTTGAGCCACTGGATCTGATGCCCAGTACCACACAACAAAAAGGGTGAATCGGATGATAATTTTTTTTTTATTTAAGAGGAAAAAGAGAAAAACACAAAACAAACCAAAGCGGCGTAAGGGTACACGCAATACAGAACTACAAAACAAAACAAAACAAAACAAAACAAAACAAAACAAAAAAACATAACAGTAAGAAATCACCTGCTAGTAGATTACACACTATCTTCTTGAAAATAGTTCCTCAAATGGATGATAATTTTTATGCTATGTGAGTTTCACCACCAGAGACAAATTGACTGGGAAGTGAGTTCACGGCCAGCCTGAACTGCACAGTGAAACACTGTCTCAAAAAAACAAAAATAAATCAGTAGGAAGGACAAGTGAACCCAGGTGTGGCAGCATGCACCTGTAGCTCACAACAAGGGCCTTCTTAGCACTCAGGAAGCTGAGGCAGGAGGGTCGCTTTGTCTCAACAAAGTAATAAATAAATACATGCGTGCGTGTATCCATAAAGGAAAAGCTGGGTGACAGGGTACATGCCTGCCACCTCAGTGACTCACGAGGCTGAAGCAGGAAACTTAAGAATTGGCACAACTTCGTGACTTAGCTAGAGCCTGTCTCAAAATCAAAACATAATAATAAGAAAGTCCTGAGGATGTAGCTCACTGCAAGAGCCCTGCATCCAATCCCCAACATGGGGGGAGAGAAAGAGAGGATAAGAAAGGGGAGATGGCGATGGAGAAGTTGCTGATGTTTCTAGCTTTTTGTCTTTTTTTGGTGTTTTGAGACAGCATACACTACATAGTTCAGGCTGCCCTTGAACTCGCTATGTAGCCCAGGTCGGCCTTGAAATTGTGATGATCCTCCCGCCTCAGCCTCCCGGGTGCTGAGATGACAGGCAGATGCCACTGTATTCAGTGTATTCGGTGATATTTTTCTCTAAATATGCATATACCAAAGCCAGGCGTGGTGACGCATGCCTGTACTATCCGCACACTGAATGCAGATGCAGGAAGATCACTGCAAGTTGGAGGACGTCTCGGACTACGAAGTAAGTTCAAGGCCAGCTTGAACTGCATCGTGAAACACTGTCTCAGAGAGATGAAGACAGAGAAATACGCAGCACATACACATGAACACGCTGCTGTGTGACGGACCAGGCACTTTCTGTGAGACCAAAAAGTCAGAAGAGCAGTTCCAGCTGGAGGAGAGGGGTGGCGGCTTCCTGAAATTCACGCCCCTCCCTGCAACAGGACATATCCACAGTCTTCCCTTCGTGATCGTTCCACGGAAGCCAGGGAAGACGGCAAAATACACATCGGTCCCTGTGGAAGCCAGGCCTAATGGCATGTGCGGCTCATCCATTGCTGTGTAACAAATGGCCCAAACATTTTTATTTAATTTTCTGAACGTTTAGTGGTTTAAAAGACCATTTCATAGGCTCCTGAGTTCACGGGTCGGTAGCTTGGATGGGAGAGGAGTCCTGCCGCAGTGCCTGGCGTGGTGCGTGGGGATGGGAACAATTAGGGGGTTCATCGCGGCTGGCAATCCTCAGGCCATCCATCATCTTTGTTCCCAGAGACCTTAGCTCCGGGCGCTTAGCCAGCAAGAGGCCGCTAGAGCAGCAAGAGGCGGAGAGTGTATTTCGGGAACAGAGTGCGATTAGGTACAGGCCTGTGATCCCAGCAGTGGGGAGGCTGAGGCAGGAGGATCTCTGGAGAGTGGCTGAAGCTGTAGACAGATCACACATACATACACATGAGGCCGGAGCGAGGCTGGTCCTGAGACCAAAGCGCGACTGAGCCACGTGAGCAACTGCTCCTGTCCAGAAAACACCCAGTCCTGACAAACCAGACAGGCAGGTTGCTAGGCAAAGGGGTGTCGGGTGACACCAACGCGCCAAATAAATAAATAAATAAATGAAATAAAATCAGTAAAAATAACAGTTAAAGCATAAAGTAGTTGAAGCATAAAAATGCCCAGGGTTCCAATTCAGTGGTAAAATAATCCCTGCATTCCATGTGCAATATAGCAAAAGCAACAGGGAGAAATAAAAGGCTGTCGAAGTCAGGAGACCCTCCTGCCTCAGTCTCCTACGTGGTGAGATTACAGGCATGGGCCACCATGCCTGGCTGGCAGTGGAAATTTTTTAAGTAACAAAGACAGCATGAAGACTTACGGCCCAGGGTTCTGAGGAGCCTCAGTGGTGTCTCTCAGTTTACCTGGAAAGGGAAGAAGTGGCCACGCTTTCCAAGCAACATACGGAGGTCTCAGTAGGCCGGCGGTGGGATCCACCAAGCGAAGCAGGCGAAAAACGCCTCCTGAGAGTCCAGCAGGCTCTGGGCGCCCGGCCTGGGCAGCTGGGAGCTGTCCGTGGTGCTGACGGCGTACAGCCGGCATCTCCGAGAGCCGTGGGTTTTGTTTGTTTATTGTTTACTGAATTTTTCCCCCTTGGGACAGGGTCTCAGTGTGTAGCCCAGGCTGGCCGTGAGTTCGCGGTGATCCTCTTGGCTCTGCACCCCAAATGGAATTACAGGCATGTGCCACCACACCCAGCTCACCAACCACAGTTTTTTTTCTTTCTTTTTCCTTTTTCTTTTTCTATCTTTTTGAGACAGCATCTAGCTATGCAGCTCAGGCCGGCCTTGAGTTCACTGTGTAGCCCAGGCTGCTCTGGAATTTGCAAAGATCCTCCTGCCTCAGCCTCCTGAGTGCTGGGATGACAGGTGTGCACCACAACTCCTGGCCTCTTTTTTCATCCTGGTACCAGGAATCAAACTCACAACCTCTCACTTGCCAACCAGGTGCCGTGACACTGGCCCACAAATCACACTTTTATTTAGAGCATGGCTAATGTTTTTGCTACTTTTTTTTTTAATCGGTACCAGGGATTGAACTCAGGACTGCGCACTTGCAAGGCAGGCGCTTATGCCGCTGAGCTAAGTCCCCAGCCCCGTGACTAATGTTTTTAAGACTAATTTTGTCATCAAGCCAAAGAAGCATAGGTTGGTCAGACTCACGTTTATCCCTTAGAATATTTCTATTGATGAATTATTAATTTTAATTTTATGAGCTTTATATTAAATGATGACTACTCAACAAAAAATCACAAAAATGTTCAATTTGTAATATTTGCTTAGCATTTTAAAAAGCATCAGAATTTTCAGCACCTACTGGTGTTTGGTGTATATAAAAACTGAACATCAGAAATAGGTTTCCATATGAACTACAATGAAAACAACAGTGGTAGGCTGGGCATGGTGGCTCTTGCCCGTCATCCCAGCACTCAGGAGGCTGAGGCAGGAGGATCTTTGCAAATTCCAGACCAGCCTGGGCTACAAAGTGAGCTCAAGGCTGGCTGAGCTGCCTAGAGAGAACTTCTCTCAAACAAACAAAACAAAATCATGAAAATACCAATAGAAACGTACCACAGAAGTAATATTTGCTTCCACTGTCACGCCCAAGGCAGTCTGCACACGTGACCACTGTGTGTCCCCTATTTGAGTACACGGCCAGCACACGGAAGGCAGATTTAAGCTTTGCCTTCCTGTGATCGCGGTGGTCCTTGTGAGGCTGTGCCTTCTTGTTCTCCTGTCCGCTCGCCAGCGGGCTCTACAGTTTTTTTCTCACAGTTCCCTGAGCAGAAACATTTTATTTGTCCTCTGCTGTAAATGATCTCTTAGGAACTCCAGTCCCAGTCCTCTGAGGAACTCTCTCTGTGCTATTTTGCATCTGATGTTTTCTTTGGAATCTACCAAACTGTTTCTGCCATGCATGTTTAGGACCAAGTAAAATCCAGCCATCAGCCACCGCTCTGCGACTCGAGTGACACCACAGTTGCCACTTAGCTCATGACAACATCCACTCCACCTGTGGTTTGGTTGTAAGATGCCCCCATCTCAGGTTTCCTTTCTCTCCAGGTTTCCCACTCAATATCTTGACACTGGCAGTACCCGTTTGCTTTGCTTTGCCATCTGTGAGGATGACATCGTATCTTCCTGAAATCCAAAGATTGCACTTTTGGG